TGGGAAAGCTCTGTGTCCATGGGTGAAGGGCATGTTTTCCCAGCATCTTTTCAAAGCCCCCATCTGGTAGGCTTCCCTGGTGTGAAGGGGAGGTAAGTGTTCCCTCTGCATTCAAGTGGCGTAGACTTGAACTTGACCTGTGCTATTCATGTGTCAGCATAGAAGCCTTCTTTGGGACAGAGTGAATTTTGGGACCCTGTGCCAATGTATCTTATGATCTCCCTAGTCCCCATTTCTAACCTCTTCCGTAGACCCTGCGCTCTGCTTTCAGAGTGGCGGTCCCCCAACAGGGCATCTTAGGAGAGCAACAAATGCCTGGCCTAGAAACAGAGGAGCAGCTGACCTAGCTGAGCTTTTCTCGAAAGGGGAAGGGAGAAGCCAGGGAGTCCCTGAGGATGCTGCCTTGTGGCCTGGACTTCGGGAGTCAGCACCCCTTCCAGGCTAGGAGTTGTTCTACCGCAGGGTAGGGTTTCGTGGGGTTTCCAGCTCAGGATCCCTCCTCATCCTCAAGTCCCAGCTCCGAGTATTTGGGCCCTCATGCCAAGGAAAGACACTCGGCGGGCAGCACTTTCAGGAGCAACCATTTCTTTCTGGGCTGCAAACCTTGGGGGAACCCAGCAAAAGGCTGTGCAAGTGCTTACGGCCTCATAGAACATCCGGAAGAAGTTGATCTCATCCGTCAGAGAGTTGACCTTGGCCTCCAACTCGACCTTGTTCATGAAGGCACCATCCACATCCTGGAACGGCAGCAAGGGATGCTTCGCTGAGACCCTGGCATCAAGCAGGGCATCCAGGGGAAGCCGGGGAAAGGCCTTTCTGGTGCTTATAGATGGGCTTTTAGGCAACTCTACCTGGAGGGGCTGGGGTGGGGAGGAGCGATCCTCTGAAGAATGGGGCGACCAGAAAGCAGAGCGGGGTCAGTGGAGCCATGAACTCAGAGGGGGCATTTCAGCAGGTGTGAGTGCTCTGGACATTCTCAAGGCTGGCATGGCTTGACTCTTTTTGAGTGGCCCTAGGCTAGGTCTACCCCAGTCCATGATTCCCGTTTGAGCCTTTTCCTTGGAAAGACATTTCCACTCACCTTCTTCAGGGCAACAAACTCATTCTCAGAAGCTGTGCGCTTATTGATCTCATCTTCATACCTGTTAGGGGAGGGAGGCACGCTGTTGAGCAAGCATTCCATTGAATTATTCCCCCGGTCACGGAGAACCATAATTGTGGAGCAAGAGCCAAGAGACCACAAGTCCTTCCTGGTTCTCCCGCTGACCTGCAGGTGACTCTCTGTGATTCACTGAAGCTCCGTTTCTCCTCCCTCTATAAAATTGGAATCCTTTCTTCTGCCAGAGGGTTTTTTTTTAAAGAGGGGATTAAGTATTTATGCAACTTCATCTTTTCATAGATGTGTAGGCCCACTCTTAAAAAAAGAAGCCCTCTCTCAAGTGCCTGATGAAACAGTGAGGGGAATCTCATCTGTTCAGGGCTCTGTTCCTAGTAGACGTGGGTCCATTTTCACAGCACCTCAGGGTGGCAGGTGAGCAGTGTGGATGCAGAAACCAGGGGTCAGCCTGCTAGGGTCATCCCTGCTGGGGTCATCCCTTTCCACCGGCTACCTCACCTACGACAGCCCGCATGATGTGCAGTCACAATTGGCCTCATGAAGACAGCCAGGTTGCCTTGTGTGTGTGTGCCCACATCTTTACTGCCTCTCTCTACTACCCAGCTCACATGCATTCTGACATGCCAGCTGGCACAGCTCCCGTCCCGTGGTGTTTAACCACCACTGCCTATGAAGCTTGGTTTGCGGCCCTCAGCTCGGGCTACGTGGCGCTGCTGTCCTTGTGCAGGCATACGGATGGATAAGAAGAGACAAGCTTGGGATTCGGGTCCTTTGGTGACTCCACACCATGCTGTTTTCAATGTCTAGGACTATGTTAAGTTCCCAGGCTCTCAAGTGACACTGTGGCATCTGCTCCTTGGCACTTCTTCTGGTCCTCTTAAGGAGGAGTCCTGGGATGACCACAGGTGCCCAGAAAAAGTCTGTCCTCCACTTACCGGACTTTGAAATCTTCTACGACGTCCTGCATGTTCCTCAGCTCACCATCCAGCCTGCCCCTCTCAGACACAAGGCTGTCCAGATTCCTTCGGAGCTCGTTGATGTACACGTCAAAGAGAGACTCCAAGTTGTGCTTCACACTCCTGGAGCCCTGCTCCTGCAGGAGGTTCCATTTGGTCTCCAGCACCTTGTTCTGTTGCTCTAGGAACCGCACCTGGTGGGGAGAAGAAGAGGATCAAATCTTGAGGCATAGAGAACACAGTCAGACCCCCTATTGATCCAGGGGAGAAAGGTGTCTTTGCACCTGGCACACATAGGGTAGCTATGTAATTGACAACACCAATCACAAATGAGGAAACTCATGCGCCTACAGCAACGGCCCCTTGGATACCCATAGAACCGGGGTAGGGGGCTCGAGGGCCTGTGTACCCCAACCAAATACACAGCCATTGAGTCCATTCCAACTCATTGGGTTGCCAAGGCTGTAAATCTTCACAGAAGTAGACAGCCTCATCTTTCTCCTGCAGAGGGGCTGGTGGGTTTGAAC